AACAACATTTGCTGATCTCTTACTCCATGTCAAAGTCCTGTAAATCATCGAAACCACCCTGTAGAATAGATGCTATTGTTCGCCCCATTTTATGGAGAGTAAAACTGAGGTCAGATGGTTTTTCCAAGGTCACAGCAAGTTGGGACCTAAAGTGAGAGCCAGGGGATGTGTCTCCAGAATCTGAGTTCTTAACCTCAGCACAGCACTGCCTTTGACTGAGCTGGAGGATGTCCCATCAGAAAGCCTCTATCTTCTTTGTGACATGGGACCCAGGTCATCTGCTTACAAGGAGGAGGTGCAGATGAGAGGGCTTGGGAAGAGGGGAAGACGTGGGGCCCCGTGGCTGAAGGAATAGGAAAAAGGCTATGACTAGGAGGAGGAAAAGGGTGGCCAAGCAATGTCCCCCTGAGTCGGGACAGCCTGAATCTGCAGTGGCATCCCTCACTGCCGTGTCCCGCAGCCTGTGTAGGAGGGGAAAGGACAGGCGACTGGCCTGGGCCGGGCTAAAGAGTACATAGAAGAGACAGATTTCAGAGGGGTGGAAGGATGAGAGATTTTATCATTGAGTTTTGGTGATCAGGATTTCAGCGGTGGGAGAGTGCCGGGTAATTAGTCACGTGACTCAGTTGAGGCGTGAGGGTAATGAATTCAGTTGGCGTAATGAGCTTAAGGTGCCTGCTGTGGCCTGAATGTTTGTGTCCCCTCAAAATCCATATGTTGAAGTCCTAATCCCCAATGTGATGGTGTTTGGAGGTGGGGCTTTGGAAGGTGATTAGGTTTAGGAGATGGTGAGGATGGAACCAGGTGGTGGGATTAGTGCCCTTGTAAGAAGAGGAAGAGACCAGAGCTCTCTCTCTGTCTGCCATATGAGGACACGGCAAGAAGGCGGCCGTCTGCAAACCAAGAAGAGGGCCCTCACCAGACTCTGAATCTGCTGACACCTTGATCCTGGACTTCTCAGCCTCCAGAACTGTGAGAAATAAACGTTTGCTGTTTAAGCCACCCCATCTATGGTATTTTGTTACAGCAGCCCAAGTTGACTAATACAGTGCCTGTGGGACACTCACATGGACCCAGCTGGAGGATAATCAGATCCATAGATCTGGAATCGGGAGGAACTGGGAAGGATGGAGGAAAGGATCTGTAAACCTTAGGAATTTGTGTTCTGTTTAAGGCCATGAGAAGGAAGATTTCACCCTGAGAAGTGCATAAAGGGGAACAGAAGAGTGCCTGGGTCAGAACCTTGGGGAACCCCAATATTTAAGGGAGGTTGGAGGAATAGAGGTGGAGGGAATCTCCTTTGGAGACTTCCACAGAAGATTGAGATTGAGATAAAGTGGTAAAAGAGGATAAAAGTAAGTAAAGAAAGAAGTATGCAAGAAAGAAAATGATCAAAGACAAATTCTTTGATATATTAAGCAAGACAGACAATGAGGAGACCACTGTGGTCCTTGCTGGGAGGGTGGGAGTGTGTCTATGTCTATATACCATGTATGTCCAACATAAGTAAATCTAAATGGTGGGATTAATATCCTGTTAAATGTTAGCAATGGGCACACTCCAATATGATCAAGACAAAACATTTTTACCTAATGGCAAATGAGGCAAAATATCGTAAATACCTTGAAAAGCAAAGCTCGATGGTAGAAGATTCCTTTTTTGATAAGTCCAATTGGTATAACATTGGATTTAAGTTGAAATTTTAGTTCACTTATGTGAAGTTCCCAGCTGAAATCAGGTAGTTTCTCTTTCGAAATCTTCCCACCCATTTGTTCTGCCACATACCTGTGTCAATTACATTGAGATCAAATCAAGTTTAATGTCTCACTGTGGATGATTTGAGCATAATTATATGTACCTGTATATGTGTAAAAACTACATTCCCTCTGATTTTTATTGTTAGCTCTACTTTAAAAACTATACTTACAATAACTATGTTAACATCACGCTTACTATATTCAAACCATCACATGCAAACTGAAATTCTCGCAATTTCATTCAACACA